GGCAACTTCATCCGCCAGTTCCTTCAGGACCCGCGGATGGATCTCATCAGGTCCCATGGACTTGTGCACCTTCAAGTTCCTCAGATGTTCCCGAACCTGCTCTTAAAGATTCCTCCTTAAAGAATTACAGTGAGGCTCTATAGCACACAGTGGACTGGTTGGCAGAGCAGTGCAGCAAATGTGTTTAGTAGCAACAGCCAGCAGCAGTCTTTGTTTAGAGAAGCAACTGTTAACAGTAAATAAAAACTGCAGTCATCATCTGTTGTTTATCGACTTGGACAAGTCCACGCTGGGATATGTAATAACAAGCTAAATATGATTTCTGTAAGGTGTATTGGGAGGTGGCCAGGTGGTCCTTCACAGACAGCTTGGGCCCACTTGTTCTTCTGAAAATTGGGTTGATGCCAGTCTCATTGGATGTGACTGAGGGGCCTCAGAGTTATGGTGTGTCTGCGTGTAGCCCAGTGCTGTGCACTGCCCGGCGGCTGTGAACAGCTCCGTCTATGCCCATGGCACTGCGCGTAGCCAGTAATCCTCCAGGAACCCTGGTGCACTCTGTGGGTGGGTGCAAAGCCACAGCTGCTAAGCCTTTTTAGGAACTGGACTGTATCTCTGCTCCTGAGCAATAGGATGTTTCTTGGTCACACTCCTTTGGCCTGGAAAGATTTGCTTCCCAGCTGGAGGAGATCTCCGGGGCTAGTTTTTGTCCAGTAGCCAGAGGCATCTTGCTCTGCTGGCTCCATGCTGTGCCCAAAGGACTTGGTGTAGCGAGTCCTGCTGTCTGTGGCACAGCCAGCCTGCAAGTCTGGGAAGCCAGAGTGTCACTGTCATGTTTATTAGTGCGTCTGGGCTAACGGTCTGTCAGGGAGAGGAAGGAAGAACAGGGTGTCCTGCAAACAGTTTTTGTGTAACTGATCTGCATTGACCTGCACGCCTGAGGTACTAGTGTTACTTAGAAGGAATTGTATTCACATGTTACTGTGGGTTCATATGGATCACATTGCTGGATGGTTAAACCATGTTTAACCATGAGTTAAAATAAAAAATATAACCCATTGGCTAAAAGTTAACAAAACCTGCAGTGCATCACTCCTTAATTGTGAGAAAATGAATAAACGTACTTTTAGTGTGCTTTCTATTAAAAGATTTCCTACGTATTTATGTATTCAACTTCTGTTGCCTAACGTGAAAGATTTATTGTAGGCTGAAAATCTGACTGTCTGGCTCTTTCAGACTGGTTTACCGTGCTGTTTGTTTGAGCGTATTTGATTACAAGAGTTACATTCCAAATACATCTGGGAAAGGACGCAGTGAAATGCAGGAGCTTCATTTTGTTTTTTTATAAATTCCATAATAAACCAAAGATGAGCGGTCTCTAAATAACAGAGATAACAGTTAAATAAGAATGATTTCTTAATGTAATAATAACAAAGACTGTAACTGGATAATCTAGCATTTGCAATAGACAGTGTAGTGTTTAATTTACTTACCATGTAGCATTAAATTTTTCTTTTTCCCTCTTCAAGTCGTCATCACTTTGTATGGCTGGTGTTCACGCAGGCGTTGTGTCAAATACTCTGGGTGGCCAAATTAATGTTGTCATCAGCAAGGGCATTCCGTACTATGAAGGCTCCCTGGCAAACAACGTCACCTCAAAAGTGTAAGTGTACTTCATATACGTTCTCCTTATCTTTAGCACCTGAGATCTTGGTAGTGTCCCATTGCAGGGTTAGTTTCAGCTAGTGGAGCTACGTGTTCCATGGACAGGTTCCCTTCTGTAAGGTTCTCACAGTGCTCGTTTGCTACGGTGTGATTGTTTTACCAGATATTTTTTTAACCTCCAGACCATAAAGATTAATTTTCTAAATTCCGCAGCGAGGTTTTGTCTTCCAAAATGCATAGCATGACCATAAATTCCTAATGGTCTGTGGAAAAATAATAGTTTAACTGCAGCTTTTTAGGTGCAGGGAAGAGAAAAGGTGTTTCTACTGAAAGCGGCGCAGCTTGGTGACGGGAAGTGTTACTTTAACCGTGAAGCACTTCTTTAGGCATATGTGCATCAGTTTCAGCGGCAAGAAGTCAGACAAGAAAAATAAATTGAAGACAGTTTGTTTCAATTTTCCTCACTGACTACCACAAAACCTATCTTCTTTTGTTCTCTGCAGGGGACCATTATCTACAAGTCTCTTCACATTTAAGACGAGCGGTAAGCGTTGTCACGTGTATTATTACATGTTGATACTTTCATACAAATTTTGTGAGTAGAAATAAGTGTACAAGTGTTTCATTTCTTAATTTTTATTCTAGTTAATTTTTTTTTTACTTAATTCCTCAGTAATAGGTATTTTTGAATCGTTTTACTATCTTGTTTTGATGATCACTAATTATCGCTACATTTATACATGGAGTGATACATCGATAAATAAGGATGCAGTGTTTCCTACTCAAGTCTGATCATTTTATTCAGTTGCTCATAATCACACATGTGTGTGTTGTGCTGAGTTAATGCTCTCCCTATATATGTTTAAGACATTCTAAGCCCTGCTTTCTCAGTCCTACAAGGTGCTTGTCCTGCTGGTTCATAATTTAATTTTTCTTCCTACTTCTGTTATTTAGCAAGATTTGCTTATCTGCAGAAAGAGATTCTTCCATGTTACGTTCCTCAATTATAATCTGGTTTGAAGTGACTTGACTCTCGTACTTCAGACGCACTGCTAAAGCAGAGTTGGGCGCTTACGAGTTGCTCTTTGTTGGTGGCAACTGTGCTTTGTAGGATTTTTTCAAGTTTACTCCTTACACTTTCCTTGTTGCCTGCTAAGAAAACTGGCAGAAATCCCAAAATGGTTCCTCAACTTTCTCCATCCCCTTTTACTATTTTTTTCCCCCCCCACGTTCTTGCAACTGAATGATATGTGATAAATTACTTGTGTCTCTTGCTCTGGAGAGGCATCTCTTCTGCCTTGCCCTGTAAGTTGTGTTCCTTCTTGGCCGCCAGATTTTATTTTGTAAATGTGTACCAGGTTGCTGATTGGTATAACCAGTGTTGCCCCTGTTTAAAGCTTCACTGCTTTGCATGTTTTTACTTTCTATCAACTACCCTTTTTTCAAACAAAGTAGCTGTACTTTTCTAAATGGAAGCTAGCTTTTCTGTAAGTCACCTTAAATGCCAATTTGAATGGATGTTGGAAGTATTGTAAAGACACTGGCCTTTCCTTAGTTTCTTTAACTGTTTTAATAACGATATAAAAAAAATTAACAAAAGCATGAAGTCTGTTTTCCATAAGGATAAAGTTAAAAATAAGTTAAAAAAAAAAAAAGGAAATCATACACATACTCTTCAAAAGTAGACAGATACTTTTCCAAATATATAAATAAAAGTAATGATGAATGGGGATAGAAACACAGAAATCTGATGGGCAGATGTGTTTGGAGGTGGAAATGCACAGAAATGAGCAAAAATTTGAAAATTAATCCACATAATATTCAAACAATTTATCTCCCAGTCCTCTGCAAGAGCTGGAAGAAGGAATTGCATGTCTGGTGACCTTATGCATGGCAAATATTAAGCACTGTGATCGAGGCAGCATTTGCTGGGGTTTTTCATCTTTCAAAATGTGATCTGATTGTATATATGAAAGTAATTAAAAGGCCTGGAAATACGAAGAGACAGGAAAAAATGCTAATCTAGATTATCTGGATTTCAGTGACACATTTGAGAAATTATCGAATAAACTAGAGACAGATTAGATTAAAATGTATGAATTTGGGTGGTCTAGGAGTTAGCTGGAGGAAAAAGGGGACTTGGTAGTATGCTCAAACGAGGTGTATCAGACTGTGGTGAATTTACCAGTGTGGTTTTTCCGTAATAGTTGGTTTCATCACTTGGTACAAAATAGAGGAGTGTGTTATTGCTGCTGGAGGTGTGGTCAGTGCAGAAGAAGATGAAACTATTGTACAGGAAGACCTGGCTGACTTTTGAGACTGGAATAATGGAAACGAATTGAAGAATCACAGAGCAAAAAGTACAAGGTCGGGTACATAGAGACAGGCATTTCTGCTTTAAACTGGCAGCCTGTTAGATGGAAATGACAGGTGGGGGAAAGGACTCAGTTAGCGAGGTGCTCACATGAGCCTGTGCTGCAGCGGGTGAATTATGTCCAGTAGAGAAAACGAACTATTAGTGCCAGCGCACAGGACGTTGGCCAGGCCTTGTCTGGGATCCAGATGCACTTGGGCTGTGCCTCCCTTGAGGGATGAGCACTTGACCATGGTGCAGAGGAGGGCTGCAGGGGACCTGCAGGGAGAAGGGGAGCTCACAGCAGAAGGAAGCGAGGCTGAGTTGTTCAGGCTGGCTAGCTGAAGGCAAAGATTGCTCCTAGTAAGAATGATGACAAAAAAATACAACTAGTTTAGTTTCAAGGACGTGCTCAAGCTCAAGGCCAGGATTATGACGTGGCTTCCTACATTCTTTGGTGTATTGTCAGAATTAAAATTGTGATACTGAGGTCAGTTTAAAAAAGAAGTGATTATATAGACAGATAAAAGGAATGAATGATCAAGTAGCCTGTTTCCCGTTCCTGCATCTACCATATGTACTCTTAAACCATGACCGCTCCCCCAAAGCTTCTCTTCCTAGTGCTCTGTGTCAGTAGTGATTGAGAGAATAGCCACGTTACTCTTAAGCAGGCATAAATAGTGGAATACTCAAGATTCCAAGTTTGGTTCCAGCATCACTTTTAAGAAAGCAGAAGACTGTGTTTCGTTGGTAGTGTTGTTATGGAATAAATTTAGACGGCGGTTTAGTATTTGCATGTGAAGTCGTCAACACCAAGCGGGTAAAATCATTGTGTAACTTGAATTTTCATTTTAAATCCTCACCTTTTCTGTTGCTCAGGTTGCTATGGGACACTGGGGATGGAATCTGGAGTAATCTCTGATTCCCAGATCACGGCATCATCTATTCTTGAGTGGTCTGACCAAACAGGACAAGTGAACATTTGGAAACCTGAAAATGCCAGACTGAAAAGGGGTGGTCCTCCTTGGGCTGCTTTTATCAGCGATGAACATCAGTGGTTGCAGATTGACTTGAATAAAGAAAAGAGAATAACAGGTAAGTGAATCTGATGTGGCTTTTAAACAGCATTGAAGAAGTTGGTTACTGACATCCTTTTTTCCAGGGCTTGGTCTTAGATAAAGTCCAGATGACATTTAATTACTGTGACAGCAAAGTTGGTTCCATGTCCTAGCTAATATACTGAAGAGCCTGGAGTTGAACATGTGGAGTTTCATGGTGGAAAACACGTCTTCCATCAGAATTCGTTTAGATGTTTCCTGTGATTTTATTGGATCCTTGATGCTTCCCTTTTCCTGCTGATTGTCTCCTTGGAGGTACAAATCCATATTCAGTCAGCTCAGTCCACTGGTACCTCTGATTCAGGTGTACTGACTTACATTTCTAGGTTTTTCCTACTGCCTGTCATGACTGTAGAGAATCCAGCAGTGGAGATAGGAGCAGTTGCAGTGCAGTGTGAGACAAGCTACAGACAGAGTAAACCAGCTGGCAGCCTCTCCCCTTCACCTCCTTGCCTGAAGTGGAACTTAGGCTGACAGCTGGGGATGGTGGGGCCCTCAAAAGTCTATTGCACTTTCTCTCAGCAGACGGACCAAGCAGTGCACACTGATGCAGCCAGAGTCTGGATTAGGCTCTGCTCCTGCATATTGATTGAGATGGACGATCCGTCGTGATTTTGGTAGCTGTGTTTATTTGGAGAGGCAGCTGGGGGTGCTGTTTCCCAATCCACTCCGGATGGTTTGTTTCAGGTTTGGAGTGTTGAGTGAGCCCATGGTAACCTGTTCCTGTTGATCGCAGTAAAGCCCATGTTGAGTGGTGAAGCACTTGAGGCATTTGCCTTTTGGGGTTAACTTAAGGGGTAGCCTTAAGTAGTGGCAGTGCAGCTGTTGTATCTTCTGTGCTGATGTTAGTGTTTTCTGTTTTGATTGAATTGTTCAGAGATGATTCACTGTTGTTAATGGATGTGTTTGCAATCTGACTTCAATAAAAAATAAAGTGGCTTTAGGTAGAGTGCTTCATAGAGTCCCCGGCTTTGAGACTATTGTGAACATCCTCCATTCTCAAAGGCATGAGTTGGTCTCTGTAAACTCAGCTGCGCACCCTGCTATCAGCAGCTTGGCTTCCTGTCATCAAGCAACTTGGTTTTACCAGCAGCCTTTGTTATTACCTCCCCGGGGACTATTTGGATTTTACATTACTCCTCTATTTCCTGTGCTAATAAGCTGTCACCAACCAGCTTTCCTATGTGAGTTGTTCTGTGGCGCTGAAGTGTCAGCTTCAGGAAGCTACGGTTCTTTCAAAGGTGCTTGGAGGTTGGCAGTACAAAAGCAGGGAAGAGTGGTGCTGTCTCAGCAACTGGAGGCGGGAGTGGGCCGTGGTCAAATGAACGGGCCGTTTCCATGAAGAAATGGGGGAAAAGTGCTTAGGAAGGTTATATCATGAGAATTAAAATATAAAAATAAGTAAAATGATTATTAAGTTTCAGTCACTGTAGAAGTTTCAGATCTTCGATAAACTTCGAAATGTAACTGGACCAGTGGAGATTCCAACTACATAACTCTGGATTCAAAAGTTGATCTATGAATTTTTGCAAACCAGTACCCATTTTTTTGTCTAACTGGGCACCTTCATTTTCACAGGTATTATAACTACTGGATCAACCCTTGCAGAGTACTACTATTATGTCTCAGCCTACAGAATTTTATACAGTGATGATGCACAGAAATGGACAGTATACAGAGAACCCGGCGTGGATAAAGATAAGGTAAAAAAACCTCACGTGTTCTAGGTATGTTCTATGGAGATTTCACAATTGTAAATATGGCTAATTTTGGTACGGTGAGGAAACATTAAATCTCTTTCCTGTTCAGTGTAATCTTGAATCATAAACAGCATCTGTGCAGAAGAAAATATGAAAATATACAAATATGGAAGAATTTGAACAGTTCTGAAATTCAGAGATTATTTTTATTACTATTTGGGGATGGGAATATTCTATACAAGAAACTTCCATTGCCAGTGGTAGGCTGTCTAGTACTGCGTCCCTTTAAGAACAATCAGATTTCTTTCAAAATAGGTTCTATGTTCCAAAATTAGGGTTTACTTTCTTGTCCTCTTGTGGTTACAAAATAAATGTTAGGGATTGTATAACTTTCCATCTTTTATAATGTTTCTGTCCATCTTTCTTTATGACAACATACTAGTAAGTTTCTTTCTTGTATAATAAAACAGCCCTTGCAGAGGAGTTTTTGTAAAAAATGAAATGGTATGTTCAGGTTGCAAATGTTTTGCCACACAGAAAAATTAGCTAATGCTAGTGGCAAGATAGTCTTATTTAGTTTTGCAATATTTAACAGACAGTAAAAACGAGAAGATTAATGTTCTTTCTACCTGGTCTTGCCAGTGGTTTGGATCAGATTTCCTTAAACAAATGAGAAGAATCTTGGTAACCCGACTGGAACTAGAATGTCCTTTTTCTTTAAAATTCTTGGATGTTACTTACCTTACTTCCCTGCGCCTGTGGTATTACATACACCTAATAGTAACTAGTAACCTAGTAACTTTTTAGCCATAGGTCAAGGATGGTAACTCTTTAGCTGTACTTGATTTTCTGTTTACTGTGGCTTAAGAATGCTTCAAGGTATGTAGCATCCTGTTGAGGAAGTGAAAGGTTGAAGTATCTTGTTTGTTAAATTACGAGGTTTTTGAATGCCGAACATAATCACAGTGGGAAACTTTCCTGAAGAGAAGAGACTTTACTGTTGGGGCTGGTCCGTCTCCTTGAACTTATAAGTGAATTAACAGACTGTTACTATGAAGTATTTAGGGGTGGAAAAAAAAAAAAAAAAAATCCAGCATCTTTTGCTAGTTTTGAGTGCCCTCTTCTGGCCATAAAATAAAATCCGAGCTAGCGAGCCTGAGCCACCTAGATTTAGGCGTCGTGTTTAGTTTGATCGTTTTCTTAGAAAACCTTTGCAGCTGTTCACTTTTAATTTGAGCATATTGTTTTTCTTGCAAGTTCATGAAATTAAAAAAAAATGTGGAGCTTGAAATTACAAGCAGTAGATTTATTTTTTTTTTTAACTTTTTGTATAACGAGGTACCATGCATGAAAAACCATACGTATCCAGGAGGGGTAGTTAAATGACAGAAAAAAGGGTTCAGCATGGTATGGTTGATCTCTTGGGCTTCAAAATAGCAGATTTTTCCTCCGTCTGACATCATCTCACTTAGTACGGCTTTGCTTTTAGATGGATATGCATGAAGGCTTCTCCCTTTGAGCCTTACATAATTGCACACCAGATCAACCAGGTGATGCAGTTCCCCTTTTTTTTGAAAGATGTTTGAAATTCCTACCATTGTTCAGGAGACTAGGAGCTTTTCCAATGCTTTCCTGTAGTCCTTTTTGCAAATAGCTTCTAAAGGTCTGTCAATACTCAAGAAAAGCTTTTATTAAAATTTTTATATATTAAAAAAAAAGAATAAAATGCTTGAATTGGGGAAAAATGACAAATCAAAGTTGGAGTGTTGGAAAAGGTTTTTTTGACAGCACAGAGGCAAATGGAGAGTTTGATAATAAATGGAATATGAAAGTGATTTCTCATCAAAACTTGCACTGTATTGAGCTCAGAAACAATTTTTTTTTCTGCAAAACATTAAATGAACAAAAGATACTGAGCTGCAGGTAAATTTAAGTTACTGTCATAACACTTGACATCAAAAGCTTGACCAATAAAAGCCTGGAGTAAAGAACTACTTTACCGTTAATCTTTGTTGAAGATAATAGTCAATGTTAACGATTCCTGTTGCCTTTGCTGTTACATGCTCAGCCTCAGAAACCTGAAGTGGGATTAACTGATTTCAGTGTTGGGCCTCTGTTTTCCTAATCTGTAACTTCTGCATTTGTTGCTTGGGCCGCCAGATACAGCTTGCACCTTCTTTTAGTAGTGGGCACTGGCATGGCACAGTGCAAACAAGGCTACAGTACAGCAGTTTGGGCCAGGTGCATCCCCTTAAAGAGTCACCTCTGCATTTTGCTTCTCATTTGTGTCTTTATCAAACCAAATAATTCTCTGGTGAGAATCTGTAGTTACAAGCTTGTCAGCTTTAAAAAAATAAATAAATAATAAAAAATTGCCCTAGTTTAGGGGAAGAGTGGCTGTAAATCTGAACTTGGTCTTCTGTGTTCTTGCCATGTCTCATTAGATTTGTATTATCCGTTTATTTCCCAAGTAGCACTCTAGACTTGCCCCCACATTTAATATGTCCTCATTTGCGGCTAGTAAGTTTAGTTAAGAACAATAAGCCTAAATTCAGAGCAGGACAACTGTCACTGAGAGCCATTGGCTTGTAAACCTGCACTGCAGTAAGCTGGGGAAGAACAGAGACTGTATGCTTTCAAGTAAAATACACCTTGTGTTTGCTCACCTCCATTTTTAGTATCTGAGCGGGCTGGTTAGTTTGATAGTGTTACTTGGACACATAAAAATGAACATGCTGGTTAGTAATTTCAGATGTAGAAAAACCAACACACTGAAACATGAAGTAGTGCATTTAAATTACCAACTGATTTATTTTTCTGTCCCTAACTAAACTGACTTCTGTGTCTGTTTGATCAGTCAGTGCTTTCAAACATGATGACAGTTAACGTCTATGTAAGGACAAACCAAAATTCTTCTGTGTAAGCAATAGTAATGAGGCTTGTGTGTCTTTGAGAGTGGAGACATGTTACATACACCAAGGAGCCCAGGCCTGAGCCCCTTAAAGGTCCCTGGGGTTGTTTGGGAGTTATTTTTGGCTTTGGAACAGATAATTTCCTGGAATAATTGTTTTCTTTCAAACCTGTAGTGATATTCTGGTCATTTTGTTAAAAAATCTTAAACAAAAAACAATACAAAAATCTATGTCTTGTTTATCAAGACTGAAACACCAGGGATCTGCATTGATCAGAAATGAGCTAAAAACTCTTGGCTGCTCCGTTTTATGCAGGCACATCACCTGCTACACGATACAGTGCTTGTCCTTAAGAGCGGCAAGGTGCTTTCCTGTTTACCAAGTGGTGTGAGTGAGCAGAAAACTCACTACAGAATTTATTTTTCAGGCACATACCGTAATTCTGCTTGATGTCTGACATGATTTGCAATATCCGTACCAGTGCTTTAAAATCAAGCATGGTACTCGCTCACTGTTCCCTCTGTGGCGACCTGTGTTGACCCAAGAGCTGCATTTGCAGCGGCAAAGACCAACTGCTGTGCACTAACGTGGAGAGACAGTTCACTTCCTACCCAAAGACGTGATACCAAACCAGTCCTCCCAAAGAAGATGATGGAGTGGCTTGCTGGTTGGAGCACTGGGCCTGCTGTTTTTAAGCAGCTCAGTACAAAACCCACAGTTGGCTGCGAGTGTGTCAGTGTGCTCACACTGCATCATGGTGGCTATCTGCTTACTGGTTTTACATTTCATCCAGACAAACCCGTTCTGTATTGTCAAGTTTCAATGAGTTATTTGTGTGCGAGGACCAGCAGTGACAGACCAGCTTCAGCTCATCCTTCATGCAAAGTCTGTGCCCTTCTCTCCCAGAACTGCATGACTCCGCGCGGGACTCTGAAGAGAGCTCAGATGTTCTGAGCCTAAATCCTGTTGTTTCGCTCGTGGTTGAGCCCTTGTGGACAGCAACCACTAGAGGACAGTGCGATTACATACTTGACTGTGTCTCTGGTGCCTTCTAAGAAATGCCATACCCACTCACAGGACAGGCTCTGCTTAAACTATTGGGCTGTGTGAAGGCTCCACTTAATTCCTGCTTTCCCTTTTTTTTTTTTTTTTTTGTCACAACTGCTTGCTATGTGTATTGGAAGAGAAAGTGCAAAATACCAGGAAGGACTGAGAATTACTCAGTGCCACAAGCGTGTGAGATGTCTTTAACAGCAGACAGTGCCTGGGGGGCATCAGTAGAATATTCCATGGTACCTTTATTCTGAAGTAAGTTGTCGGGTGTGTACGCATACACATGCACCGTTCTTTGTGTTATTTAGTTACATATTTAATAGTGCTGAGTGAGTGGAGATGTGCAGGCAGCAGCACTGTTCTGGGATGAGTTTTCAGGATTCTGCACTGCTTATTTTTCCTAAATAAAACATCATAATTGTTTGTAGTGGCTTCTTTGTTATTGCATTTGTGTAACATAATGTTTGTGTCTCTTTTTTTTTTTGTCTTTTCTAGATATTTCAAGGGAACACTGAATTGTACCAGGAAGTTCGCAATAATTTCATTCCGCCTATTATTGCACGCTTTTTTAGGATTAACCCCTTAAAATGGCACCAGAAAATTGCAATGAAAGTGGAATTGCTAGGATGTCAGTTTAGTATAGGTAAGGCAACTGAAAACCTTTCAACTGTGCAAGACAAGCAGTGAAATAATTTGGCGAAGATTACATTGTGGGTATATTTTCAATGTGAAAAAAGTACTTCTCAGCTGCATAATCCTTCTGTAAGTTCTGAATTTCTTCCAAAGTTATTACACTTAACCTGGAAAATACCTAGTTTAGGTGTAAACAAAGTAATTTAGAAAATAAGTGTTTCAAAAGACACCAGTCATCTGCTTTCCATGTTCTTGATTCATGGGGGCTTTTTCCCTCATTGCATAACATGAACAAAAGCTTTAGAGCAAACTGTTACAGCTATCTTCTCCTGAAAAGGAAACGTAGGAAACTAGCACTTCAAAAAACTTTTTTAATAAATTCTTTTCTTCTAAAGGCCGTGCTCCTAAAATCACCATGCCACCACCACCTCAGAACAAGAATGATGACAAGAACAATGACCTCAGTGATGATTCCCTTCATTCAGTGAAGACTTCATTGCAGACAGATAAAACAACTTTCACACCTGAAATAAAAAACACCACAGTGACTCCAAGTGTAACCAAAGGTATCCACACTTAAGCAACAGAAGTGTTTGAGAACTCCTTACAGTAGTTTGGAATATATTAAGTGTGCATTCTGAATTTAAATTTTCTCAGCACTTAATATATTATAGCAGCAATCTTTTTAATATTAAATTTACCAGTTATTAAATATATACATATGATAAAACATGTGCAGTTGCGTACTGCATACAGAAACAAAACCAATCTTCCAAGTCATACAAAATTCCGTCTCTCAAAATTGTTCAAACTGAGTTCAGCTTTTAATTACTGAACAAATTTTGTCAGAAGGAGAAGCTGCAACTTGGGCTTCCCTTCAGAATTAATCAGATGTAACTGCTTTGTTACTCAGTTTGATAATTTTTTAGGACAAAACACTTTTGACATAGGTAATCTTTTATGGAGCAGCCATCTTGGCATGAAATTTGAAAAACATCATCTGGCATCATCATTTTGTTTAACGAAGAAATTGTCAGAAAAGGGAGCAAGATCACTGCAGATGCAGGCATTGGCACAGTGTCCTTCAGAAGGCAGGGGACAGGACGTTGTCATGTCACACACAGCCCCAGCGTAGGTAGTACTGCGTGCGGTATGTACTTCTTATGGGAAGTTCAAACTTAAGCAGTTGCATATTCCTGGCCTCCTTGTTAATAATAAAATACATTGTTCTAACAGAAAAATCTTACTTATGCTAACACCAATCTGTTGATTTTGATGAAAAACCTTGCAAAAACACCAGCTGTGCATACATGTAGAAGAGCTAGATGTCAGTTGCCGTTGACACTGTGGGAGCATCCAGCAGGGCAGCTTAGCTGGGGGTTGTGGTGTGATAGATGCTAAAAGCTCTATGCGCTTTACCTAAGTAATTTTCAAATTAAAAACTGATTAATGAGAAGCTCTTCTGTCTGACACCGCTTAATTTCATGGCTTTCAGATGTTGCGCTGGCAGCAGTTCTGGTTCCAGTGCTGGTGATGGTCTTCACTACTCTGATTCTTATCTTAGTTTGTGCCTGGCATTGGAGAAACCGGTAAATGAATAAATTCATGGAAGTGCTTTGAATGCATGTTAGCCCAGTGTGTGGGAATGAGATGGTGCGTGCATCCCTTTGGAAACTACCTGGTCCACACTTGTGGAAGGATTTTTTTTCAGAACTGCATTCTCTGTGAGAAAATGTTCACTTGAATAGTGAGGACAGTGAAAACAGCTCTTTGTAGCTATTTTCATTAGAAGTGCTTTTACTGAAAACGGGTTTCTCCAGTAGCAGCAGACTGGTGCTGGCATGCCAGGTTACTGGTGGGGGCAGGAGCACCCCCCTGCCCCTGGCCGACAAAGGCCAGGGCTTTCAATGTGGCAGCCAGTGGCTCATTGGCACCTTTATTTTTGCGTCTGTAGCGTCACATCTCGACCACTGTGATGTACGTGCCCCAGTCAGGTGCCAGCATGTGCTCCCCCACGGCCGGGAATAAGAGAGGTGGGACCCCTTGGTCAGCAGAGAGGGTTCCCAGCCAAGGGGGTGCCTCGGCCCAGAGGAACTGCTGGACCACAACCAATAGAGACCACAGTTCAGATCTGACCAGGCTATAAAATCGAGTCCCTGCTGGCGACCCTCTTTGAGTGGTTCCCCTCGGAGCAGCGGGCCTGTGATTGGAAACCCTCCCCTTGGGATTGGGGTGCCACCCAAGGAAAATTCCTGGGATTGAGTGCCCTCACCCTTCTTTCAGTGAGTGGTTATTCCTTCTGGCTATATCCTTGAGTGAGTCCTTGCCCCTCTGGGTGAGCAACTCTGTCTCCTGGGTACCCTCGGGTGAGAGGTTTCCCCTTTCCTGTGAGCACGGGAGTGTGTGCACACTTTGTGGTCATCAGTCTTACGTGGTGTCGTGTAGTAACAACATCCCTGACTGGTGTACTACACCTGTAATTTGTTAAATGTTACTGGAGTGTTGTTTAAGTTACCCGTTGTCTCGTTAGTTCTGGCTGTTTGGTTTCAGTTACAAATTAGAGTTTGATTGAGTTTATTATCTGTGTGGAGTTGTTATGGTGTACCTCCGTGACACTGGTGCTTATGCTTCAAGCAGACCAGGTAAAATACACTCTGTTTGGTTTTTTTCACAGCAAGAAAAAAACTGAGGGCACATATGATCTCCCTTACTGGGATCGTGCAGGTAACAAAATGGTTTTATGAAATCCTTTACTTGTCGTTTTTTGTTTGATAGGTATTTCAGATTGCAGTAACACAACTTCCACAAGCAGAACTTCTCTAATGCTAACTGATGTGGGCATAGTGAACGCCAAATTTCTTTTCTAGACAGACTTAAGTGCTTCATTCTCTGAATTTTTTTCGTAAATAGAAGATACCTTGTGTCCTGTTAGAGCTTACAGCTTCAGGGTTTTTTTTTTAGTAAGCAAAGTATAGAACCGCTTAATTATACAACATGAAGGGAATAATCATTTATGAGGAATGCCTTTATACACTTGATAATTGTCTATTTGGTACTTTTTTTGTCCTGTAAAAAGTCTTTCATCATAGTAGAGAGGTCTATCAAGTTTTGTCTGTCTTTGTTGCCTTCGCAAGCATGTGGGATTGTTTGCAGCCCCTTTTAGGTGTATTTTTCCATCCTGTTCTCTTGTGCCCCATTAATTTGAGATCAGACAACTCCACCAAGCAGTGCTTAGCACGCATCCCGAAATGCTTCTGCTGCGGCAGTCGGGTTTGTACTCCACTTCTCTGTCCTCATGTTGAAAATTTCCACATCTGTGTGCTTGTGGCAGTTGTAAGTACGCCATTACCTTTAGACAAGAAACCTTTTAATGACCTTATTTTTATTTATTACATGTCCATTTCCCATAGTTGTCTTTTAGAATATTAGACGCAAAATATCCTGTATTTACATGTCAGTGATGGACATGCCAGATTTTTTTTCCTGTTTGCTTAAATTTAGATGTTCAGAATACAGATCTGTTTTGAAAGGAAATTTGGCAAAATGCAGTATCAGAATAATGTTGCTACGCCTCTCTGAGGAACCTCTGTCTGTCCCCTCCCACAGGCTACCTCAAACGTTGTCAAACAGTGTTCTGTGGTTTTGAATCTCAGGTTTCTCGGGCTTCACCTACAGGATGGTCTCTTAAAGCTGGAATGAAATATGTTAATGGACAGCAAAACTAGAATGGCTACAGAGGGAAGGGATGAGGGGAACCTAACAAAACCAACCCTCCCTACCTTCTCTCAAGAAAACATTCATGACTACAGTCACTCTTTTTTGTTTCCACTGAAGTGAAAATCCTCTTTATTCAGGTTTTTGCAAATACTCACTGATCAACCTTTTTCAACAGTGTTAGAAACATGACGTTAACAGCCAGAAACAACGTTAATTAAGTGTCCTCTCATGTTCTAACTGAGATTGTCTAAAATTTCACCTAAAAACTTGATTTAAAAATTCAAATCATGGCTGACTTTTTAGCATTTTCTATGTTGTATTTCATGAGCTTGTTAATGTGACGAGTAGCCCCAGTGCTGCTGCTACTGGACGTTCAGGGCTGGATTCACTGGGCTGTAGCAGTTCTGTGTGTGTTTGAAGGGGGAGCATTCAGGCAAGTTGACTGAGCAAGAGTTAATTTTGTCACCTCTGAATTATCAGTCTGCCAGAAAATGTTAAAATACCTTGTAACTGTAGTGTCATGCAAATAATGATAATTGAGTTGTTTACCTGCTACTACAAAATATAAACTGTGGTGCAAAAATATTTTAGTGGCTTAAAAACACAGTGTGTGTGTATATATCTATACAGTGGTGTTTTTTTTTTAAATCCATGTGAAGGGTGGTGGAAAGGAATGAAGCAGTTTCTCCCAACCAAATCAGCAGAACATGAAGAAACTCCCGTACGCTACAGCAGCAGTGAAATTAGTCACCTAAGACCAAGAGAAGTCCCAACAATGCTGCAGACAGAGTCTGCAGGTACGTTTTACTGGTTTTGTGGGTCGTGTAAAATATATATATATATATGAGACATGCCAAAAAATGTCAGGAATTTGGCTACATTTAATTATTTCCTGGTTGTTTTTTGGGAACAGAGGAGAAATTAATAGTTCTGTTGGTAAGTGCATTTCTTAAAATGCAGGCTTCTTCAAATCTGTTCGCAGAATGTCATAAAAGTATGTATTAAATTGACTTGATGGGCTGTGGATAGACACTTTCCCCAGTTAATGCGGTAACTGAAAGTTTCTTTACCTTTATTTGTTCTTAAACCCCATAAAGGGTTGAAGGATTTTTTTTTTGGTTATGTTTTCATATATGGAAATAATTTCATCCTGTTATCTTTATGCACAAATCTGCAATGTGGTCCTTGGTTCCCTACAAAAATTAAATAATTTTTTTGATCTAGAAGGGGAGGAGTTACTGATAACAGCATATGCCCTTCCCCTGGTGAACCTGTCGTTAGAGAAGACGACTGACTCTGCCTTTGGTTCTGTGCTTACAGGCTGATGGCAGAAAAATGCAGAAGTGCAGGAATTACGGCTTCACAGCAGGCAGAGTTACTTTTCTCTTTTTGGCTGCCTGTCTGTTTTTACCCAGCTTTCTCACGTCCAGCTTTGTAACTCACATTATCTGTTGAACCAAAACATCTCAGCTGACCACATGCAGGCTTCCCCCTCAGAGGACAGACCTTCTGCCCCAAGGACCACTTTTTATCCAAAGCCAGGGGCGATAATGTCATTTAATTCTAATTTTGCAGGGAAGAACATTTCAAAAAACTTTTGGTTTGAGTCAGATTTACAACATGGGAAGTTGCAGCTCACAAGTCAAGTAGTATAAACTTGAGAAATTGGGATGTTGTGGCCATCCTAATGGCTTTAACTATCGGGTGGAGATGACTTTTTTTTCAAAGCAATTGGTACTGGCAAAGACAGACAACTGGTTTGATCTAGGATAATAATTTCTGTGACATGTTGACAGGTTGTATTTAATATGATGCCACTGTCAAAAAAACTTCCATTAAGTAACTGTGTTTCTTATTTTGTTTTGATGGGGCTTGCAACACAGAGTATGCTCAGCCACTGGTAGGGGGAATTGTCGGCACACTCCATCAGAGATCAACTTTTAAACCAGAGGAAGGAAAAGAAGCAAGTTATGCTGATTTGGACCCTTACAATTCACCCATACAAGAAGTTTACCATGCTTATGCTGAACCACTACCTATAACTGGACCAGAATATGCCACTCCAATAATCATGGACATGTCCAGCCATCCCAGCACACCTCTTGGCGTTCCTTCCATTTCCACCTTCAAAGCTGCAGGGAATCAAGCTCCTCCACTGGTTGGAACTTACAATAAACTCTTATCTAGGACAGACAGCACATCATCAGCACAGGCGCTGTACGATACACCAAAGGGGCAGCCAGGGCCAGGTGCTGCTGATGAAATGGTGTACCAGGTACCACAGAGCGTGGCCCATTCCACTGGGAGTAAGGATGAACTGAGTTAGCTCACGAGTACGGTAGAATGGAATGATGGCTTGTTTTTAAAAGCCAGTTCCATAAAGCTGACGGTTTCTTTTTTCACTTGCATTGTTTGATATTGTTAGTCTTAAATAATACAACGTCGAACCAAAAGATGTGGTATTGGAGGTCTGGGAAACCAGTAATTCCGCCTTCCCTTAAGCTGTATATATAATGACAGCTTGTCTCCTGCAAAACCGTGGACATTTTTGTTACTGCTGTATGATTGTCTGTCAGACACGAGACAAGAACTCTTCAAGATTAGCTTCAGTAATTCATAGATGTGAATAACAAACCGGGAGAAACGGTTTAAAGTACGAAAGCCAATAACTTCTTGCTAATGGTACTATTTCTGGGGAACCCCCCCCAAACCCCAAAGCTCCTAACTTTCCAAGATCTGTACGTAAGCACTATAGCTTCTAAAATTCATTTTACCCTATAAAATGCCTGCACAACTTTGGACTTCAAAAACTACTATCAGGACTGATGGCAAAAGTCCCATTAACTTGACGGCATAAAATAGTTTTGATTCTAAATTACATTATTTCAGCTTTTTTTCCACAGGATTAGGAATCATCAGCTGTGTGTTCCTCAGAAGGTTCCCACCATTTTTGTTAGCCTTCCAAAACTAGAACCTGCTGTTCGTACAATCTGTTTTCTGCCATGTCTCCCTCAGCCGCTCAGTCTTGTTCCTTTCAAGGGATCCGGGGGGCACAGACCAAGTCGTACAAGCAAACTACATGGCAGCTGCTTGTACATTTTCCTGTACTAAGTGAAGGCTGCTCTGAATAGTGTCTGCCTGGAATTCAGACTTCCCTTATGGTCAGTGTGCATGTCCAGGTGCTCGAGGTGACTGGACTCAGAAAGGTTCTCCCTGCCCCCTGTCCTGCTCTCCTTCCCTGGGTATCTGTTGTTGTGTGTTAAGATGTGAGCGTATACAAAGACATGTATATACTTTTGTGAGTGCTGAAGGAAGCACACAAATATTCCAATGGTGCACAGTTTGTGTTATACACGCATTTAGCATGTATGGTACATTTTAGCACAACTGAAAAAACTTTAGCCTTAGGGCTTTACTTACGATTGTTCTTATTAGAAGTACAAAAGATTCCAAAACCTTTGCAAGAGAACCAGCGCTGTTCCAAAGTGTCCATTTCAGAAGCCTTCAATGGCATTTGTATCCTTTGAATGTTCCAATGTTCTCTACTGTGAAAACATTGCAGTCAGTCTTCTATTTGGGATAATGTAGACTAGTTTTAGCTAGGTAATCACGAAATGAAAACTGTTCGTATTTGCCATTTTTTATCTTGTTAGAAACAAAGCACAGCTTTTTAACCTAAGTAGTAGAAAAAAAACACAACAAAAAATGCTTTATTTTTATTGTAACAGCACTGTTGGGAGGATGCCAAATTAATTTATCCATGTGAAACCCCCTACTTACACATTAGCCCAGTTTTATGGACTTCAGTGGTTGCTGTTTGTTTCTGTGATGTAATTCAAGTCAGCCTTGTTTATTGCCCAGGGTCCTTGAACATCCAAATCGAAACTAAACTACTGTTCAAGAGGGCTGCCACCACGTCTGCCTTTCTACCAGTGCGGTATCCTGACTTACCACTTACAAATTTGTTTGCAGAGGGGCTGTAGCTAAATTCAGTAATGCAAATTTACTTGTGGGCTGTTCAACATCTAGAGTATGGTATCACGAACTCCGTGCTACTTTAAAGCTCAATTCTATAATTTTTCGGTCATTCATTTTTGTTCATTGAGAATATTTATTTTTTTAATTAGGTTTCTAAGCCTAAACGCGAATGTAAGTAAGGGTGGTATTTAAGACCCATTCATGAAAAAGAAATTCCTGGCTATTGTTGTACTTCTGATGTTACTGCAACTTTTTCTGCTTGCTAAAGCGAGTGTGCAAGCTCTGTAGGTTTGCTTCAGCAGGCAAGTAAGTGTTCTTACCCATCAGCAGCAACTAGGACTTGGAAATTATCCTAGCTGATTTTATTTGAAAGGGGTGGGAGGTTATTTGTTTGTACCAAGATGTGACATACTTATTCCAGCCAAGTTAAGAAACCTCCGCATTCTCAAACTTTACTAGTTTAGATTGAGAAAAAATAATCTACCATAAAAATAAACGGATATGTTCAAGTCAGTAAAATTAACATGCTTGGATTTAATTTTTACTGTAGGCCAGGTATGGTAGAACTGGGATACACTGTAAGCTGAGATGGCGTAAGAATTAAACAGTTTCTCTACAGTGGGTTATATTTTAAGCAACTGTAATGCAGTTTCATTATCTGGGCAGCATGAGCAGTTGACTGGAATGGATGGTTTCAAGAACTTAAGTTCCTTTTCTGAAAGAAATTGGTCCCAAGCTTTGCTCCCTGCTTTTCAACTTTGAACATGTTACCTGCCAGGGCTAAGAAGACAAGTTTGAGTATGTCGTGGTTGGGTTTAAAACGTGTGCTACAAGCTGTTAAACATTGTTCCCAAATATAAGTTGTGTGACACAGTTAAGATTGGAATTCTCCTGTGCACAATACAAGCAGAGGTACGTTTAATGGGTCGCTCTTACATGTGAAGACATAAGGATATAAAATGTATTTCAATCTCATTTGGCTTGAGTATTCTCCCAGAATGTATGTTCTTACCTCAGCATGTATTGTAGTTGCTCAGTCAGTATTTGTATATGTTGCTAGAACTTAGACTGTATAAATAGTGAGGGGTTTTTATATGTATGTTAAAAAGTATTTTAAATAAATTGTACATACGTTATTACTCAGTATGTTTGCATTTAGCACCTACCTTATATCTAATTCAGTTGCAGTTTGGAAATGCAAGTGGTACGAGTCCCCATACTGCTACACAGGTTCTGCCTTGCCTCCAGGAGTGACACTGTACCTGTCCTGGCAGCGGGTGTGTGTGGCAGCCACCCGCAGAGGACAGCTTGGTCCTTGCCCCATCTCACCAAGCGGCAGAAGGAGTCAGCTGGCACTTACCAGAGCTCTCCTGGTGGCTGGAGTCTGCCGCAGGGGCAAGTGGTACTTACAGGAGGGAGCTTCTCTGGAGTGACCTGGCAGGAGGCCAGCACTGGAGTCCTGCGTGAGGAGAGGCTGAGGCACAGTGCAGGCAGCTGCCCTCTCTTAGAGGAATGAGGAAGTTGGGCTCCAGTCCACTATAACCCATCGCTTAGATGTAGAGACAATCCCTCCCCACCCTCCAGTCAGCACACCTCCTCTATACTGGTAGAGGGGCTGCTAGTTTATTCTTTGACTAGAACGTGGCTATTTTCCAATTACTGGAAAATTGGAAAATTACTTGGATCGAGAGCAGCCCTGAGGAGAAGGACTTGGGAGTACTGGTGCACGAGAAGCTCAATATGAGCCGGCAATGTGCTCTTGCGGCCCAGAAGGCCAACCGTGTCCTGGGCTGCATCAAGAGGAGCGTGGCCAGCAGGGCGAGGGAGGTGATTCTCCCCCTCTACTCTGCCCTCGTGAGACCTCACTTGGAGTATTGCGTCCAGTTCTGGAGCCCCCAACATAAGAAGGACATGGACCAGTTGGAGAGGGTCCAGAGGAGGGCCACGAAGATGATAAGAGGGCTGGAGCACCTTTCCTATGAGGACAGGCTGAAAGAGTTGGGGCTGTTCAGCCTGGAGAAGAGGAGGCTCCGGGGTGACCTTATAGCGGTCTTCCAGTACCGCAAGGGGGCCTACAGGAAAGATGGGGAGAGGCTGTTCAGGAGGGCCAGGTGTGATAGGACAAGGGGGAATGGTTTTTAAATAACGGGCGGGAATTCAGGTTGGATATTAGGAAAAAATTTTTTACCATGAGAGTTGTAGAACACTGGAACAGGTTGCCCAGAGAGGTGGTGGATGCTCCATCCCTGGAGACGTTCAAGGCCAGGTTGGATGAGGCCCTGAGCAACCTGATCTAGTTGGAGATATCCCTGTTCCTTGCAGGGGGGTTGGACTAGATGACCTTTGAAGGTCCCTTCCAGCCCTAACGATTCTATGATTCTATGATTCTATACTGGGAAAAAACTGCTTTTGCTTTCAGACCTTTCCCTTCCTTTATCTTAATTGTAGCACTGCAGTTCCTAAAATAAGGAAATAGTAATTATTCTTTTGCAAGTATAAGGTTGAAATTGGAATCTAAATGGCTTAGTCGTGTGCTTGTCAAACTGAAACATCCTTGTGACATTACAAGCAGACTTGTCTTCAGAAAATGAACGCCAGCATGCCTGCAAGCCTCCCTGCTGTAGCTGACCAGTGTTCTAGAGGGACTGTCCTCAATAGGGACAGCCATCTGTGTAAGGCAGAACACTTCCTGTTTCCATATCTGTCTCTGCATCTTGCTAAACACACATTCTGCATGATACACAACTTACCTGAAATACTGCCACTTCAGCGTGGGCTGTCTCAGCTTCATGCTTAAGGTTTTCCTCATCTTGGATGATGGAGGGGAGGGGAAAAAAAAAAAGGCCAAGTAAAAATGTATCTAGATTTCTGAAAATGTTTCAGGAGCAGAAAACACCTCACTTTTACACACCTCAGTGTGCATAAAAGTCTTCTGGCATACTACTGTTTTATTACTTTCCCACAAATGATGTACAGAGATAGTGAAAGGCCATAAGAAGTGCTTAATTAAAAGGCCAAGTATTCTGCTGACAAATAGTGCATTATTTCTAGGAAGGAAAGTTCCTGAGAAAGTAAAGCTTTTCAGGTAAATGAATGGAACAGGAACAGGTTGCCAGAGAAGTTGTAGATGCCCCATCCCTGGAAGTGTTCAAGGCCAGGTTGGATGAGGCTTTGGGCAACCTGGTGTAGTGGAGGGTTTCCCTGCCCGCGGCAGGGGAGTTGGAACTAGATGATCTTTGAGGTCCCTTCCAACCCAAACAATTCTGTGATTCTATGAAGTTTATCCTTCATTCATAAGAATAAGTGTTCAACATTTGTACTGTTTTTCTTTTATACTGATGAAACCAGAACATACTTACGCTTGCAGTAAACTCTCTTCTCCTCTTGTACTGGGAGTTCAGAGGTTTTGTTTCAAGCTGGAAGAAACTCCTGTCACTCTATGAGACACTTCAGATGTCTCAGCATTACATGAACATGAATTGGGTGATGCTGACCTGTGAGGAGACGAGCACCATGGGATTTTACTGTATGTGACAGTCCAGCAGAAGTCAGCTTTGGAAGATGTCTGTTCAAACTTTTCCTTAGGTAAGACTTAAAACAATTACTGATAATGTAATCAAATATAGAATCAGAGAATGGTTTGGGTTGGAAGGGACCTCAAAGATCATCTAGTTCTAACCCCCCCTGCCATGGGCAGGGAAACCCTCCACTACACCAGGTT